ATCATAGACATCCTGGTATGAAGGGTTTGTTAAACCTGCCAGCCTTCCCGCTTCATTTGTCATCAGTCTCCACAGAAAAGGAGATAATAGAGAAGGTGAGGGAACATTTGTAATTCACAAGAAACTATGAACAGAAACTTGTTCATTTAATATTCTCTCCAACTTGGATACATTTTATCCATAGGAACAGGGGAAGTCATTCCTAGTAGATAGGTCTATAACCAGGCCTATAATCAATTCTGATACAAAGACTATCTTTAAGACTTCCATGCACATAAAAGAGTTATGGATCTTGAAAGAAATGGGCTCACAGAAAGATGGTAAGCGAGAGGCAAAATGAGTAAAATATATTATGAACATGTATTTAAAAACAATCATGGTGGAAGCTGTTATTCTGTATAATCAAAGCATAAAAAGAATGTTGGTGTGAAGGAAAAGAGAGGGTAAAGACACACATAACCGAAATTGAGAAGTTGCACCATCCTTAAAAGTTGCTTTGTGCTTACAATTTGGTTTTAGAAATGCAGGCATGCTCCTGCTGAGCAACTGTCACTGCAGAGAATGGGTGTCTGTGCCTGTTAAGAACAGCATGCCTGCCTGACATGGCTGGGAGCTAAGAGCCTTCTCTGAGAAGAAATAAGGTGCACGTATTATGACATCTTTCCCCATTCCATTAGAGAGCACAAAGACATTGGCCTCTTCATAAGGGAAGCACAAAGAAGCCTTCCCTTCGTCGATTTTCTGAGTCTTCCTGAATTTTTTTTTTTTTACCATATTTGGTCCTAGTCTGTTTATTTTTTAAATTATAATCCATTTCAGCTGTGGACACAACTATTTCCAAAGATTGTAGTGATTCCAGGGATCACCAAATGTGTGTAGTTTTCATATCATCTAAACTAGCGATGAGTTCTGAATTCAATTAGCCTTTGTAATCAAAGTGATTTAAAGTTAGCTATTTTATACAGAGGTCATCTTTGCCAAATATACCTTATCTTAAGGTGTACTTAAAAATCTTATTTTAAATAATATAGAAAATCATACCAATGGAAAATTCTCTTGAAAAAAAAACCATTCTTTATAGACTTTGTAAAGCATTGAGAATGTAACCCACGGACAGAACACTTTCCTTTCACTCACAGAGTTTGGAGTTTGATCCCCAGCACCACAAGAGGCAAGGGTTTTGCACAGTTAAGTCATTATGCTTTTTAGTCTGCTCTTTTTCACATTATTTCACAAGGTTCATTTTACACACACACACACACACACACACACACACACACACACACACACACCACATGCCCATGCTGAGTTTCAAGCAACGACTTTTAAAAGACAGAAGCTGTTAAAAAAAAGAAAAAAGAAAACAGTAAGGTTAAAAATTAAATCCTGAATTTCTAGTGATATAAGAAAATAGACATCAAACGTTGGATGATATAATAAAAATGTAAGCTGTTGAACAGAGCTAAGAGGATTGCATCATATAATCATAACTAGATAATGGGACACAGGCAAAGAATTACCTTGATCTGGAAGCTAAACTTGTAAGGTGGTCAAGTTATTTTACAGATGATTTACAGTTTAAAACATGCATGGCATTACAAATAAATGTGTTACCAAGAGAGGTCTGAGCCCTGGTTCTAAAATTCAGCACCCCGTAGTTATCGCAACTGTATCT